ATTAATGTTGCCACCTTCTACATAACCAGTTTTTGAAAAGTGTGAAAAAAAAACAATGCTTATTCTCTTGCTATTTAGCATAAAATTTTCCTTTGGAGTGCTACTGCAATCCTTTTAATCATCATTTCTATTTGTTTCCATGATTCATTAATTTCCAAAAGAAATAAAATCTTACACCGTGAAAATATTTCCCCCATTTTAACACACTTTAATATATGGGTAGAATATACTTGGTCTGGGACACCTGGGTGGCTCAGTCAGTTAAGCATCTGCTCAGGTCATGATCCAAGGGTCCTGGGATTAAGTTCCTGTATCAGGCTCCTTCCTCAGCAGGAAGCCTGCTTCTCCCTCTACCTGCTGCTCCCCCTGCTTGCATACTCTCTCCCTCTATCTGACAAATAAAGAAAATTAAAATAAATAAATAAATAAATAAAAGGATATACTTGGTCTTATAGATGTTTTCAGAATTTCACCAGTATCTTTCTTATATGTACATAAATAGGTGTGTATACATGTGTGTGTGTGGGGGGGGGTGTATGTGTTAAATGCAGCTTGAGTAAATATCAGATTTTGACAAATTTTTAGAGTGGCAGTTTCTTTTTCAATTACTTTATACTTAAATTCACATGGTTAATAACTCTTGTTTTCAATACATATTTGATATCTAAGATATTTAAAAATCTAATCACTATATTATCTTCATAAAAGAACACTTCAATTATTTTCCACTAAGCAAACAATAAGTAAATGAGTGTAATATATGTATATAAAATAGTAAGAGATCTTTAATAAATTATAATGTACACAAGTTTGGAATTCATGATAGAAATTTTTTATGGAAAAATAGAGTATTAGAAAAGATTCTCATTTATATTTGCAAATATTTTAATAAAAGTATTCCAAAAACTAATATCCTCATGTCCAAAAGAATTAACTTATAAGTAACTTGATAATAAAATTAAATATCTTCAGAGGGTCCAGTTCAAGATGGTGACATAGGAGGATCCTTAACTCATCCTCCCATGGATATACCGAACCTACAACTATGTGCAAAACAATTTCCTCTGTAAGAAATCCAAAAAGTAGCTGAATTACTTCTGTACATTAGGCTAACAAGGAAAAGAAAAAAAAGTTGAAATGGATAGGACAGGCTGAGACACAATCTAACCATAAACCCCACTATCAATGCAGCAGTCCACAATCATGATGGACACAGAAGCAAAAACCTTCAACAAAATATTAATAAACTGAATTCAATACATTAAAAAGATCATACACCATGATTAAATGGGATTTATTCCAGGAACACAAGAATGGTTTAACATCAGCAAATCAGTCAATGTGAAACACAACATTAATTAAGAATAAAAAGGATACCATCTCAATAGATAAAAAAAGCATTCAGGGCGCCTGGGTAGCTCAGGTCATGATCCCAGGGTCCTAGGATTGAGCCCCGCATCGGGCTCTCTGCTCAGTGGGGAGCCTGCTTCCTCCTCTCTCTACCTGCCTCTCTGCCTACTTGTGATCTCTGTCAAATAAATAAATAAAATATTAAAAAAAAGCATTCAACAAGATTCAATATCCATTTATGATAAAATTATCAACAAAGTGGATCTAGAGTAAATGTATCTCAAAATAGGAAAGGCTATATATAACAAGCCTCCACCTAACATCACAGCCAAAGGAGAAATACTGAATGTATTTTCCTGTAAGATCACAAGCAAGACAAGGATGCCTATTCTCACCACTTTTATTTAGTATACTGTTCAAATTCCCAGCCAGAGCAACAACACAAGAAAAAGAAATGAATGCAAATTAGAAAGGAAACAACTGTCTTTATTTGCAGATGATATAAAAAAGTCTAAAACTTCATCAAAAAGCCATTAGAATATAGAATTTACTATTTATACAATACAAATGCAAAATTTAGTAAAGAATACAACAAAACCAGTATATAAATACAACAAGACCAGTACATAAAAATGTTGGCATTTCTATTCACTAATAATGAGCTAAAAGAGAAATTAAGAAAATCCCACTTACAACTGCATCAAAAACAATAAAATACCAAAGAATAAATTTTACTAAGAAGGGACAGATCTTGGGGCATCTGGGTGGCTCAGTGGGTTAAGCCTCTGCCTTTGGCTCAGGTCATGATCCCAGAGTTCTGGGATCAAGCCCTGCATTGGGCTCTCTGCTTAGCGGGAAGCCTGCTTCCGCAACCTCTCTCTGCCTGCCTCTCTGCCTACTTGTGATCTCTCTCTCTCTGTCAGATTAAAAAAAAAAAAAAAAAAAAGGGACAGATCTTGACACTGACAAGTATAAGACATTAATGAAAACAAAATGAAGAAAACACAAATGGAAAGATACTCTATGCTCATAAACTAAAAGAACTAATATTGTTAAAATATCCATACTACACAAAGCAACATATAGATTCAATACAATCCCTATGACTATTCCAATGACATTTTCAACAGAAATGGAACAAATATTCCTAAAACTTGTAGGGAACCATGAGAACCAAAGCAATTTTGAGAAAGGAAAAAGAAACCTGGAAGTATCAAGGTCCCTAACTTCAAATTGTATAACAAAGGTACAGTAATCAAAACAGTATGGTACTTGCAAAAACACAAACAAAAAAACAAAACCAGAAGCAGATCAATGGAACATACAGAATAGAAAGCCACTCCCCCCAACCAAAAAAAAAAAAAAATCATGTAGATATCATCAATTAATCTTCAACAACAGAGCCAAGAATATATATACACAATGGGGAAAGGCCAATCTCTTCAACAAATTGTGTTTCGAAAACTGGACAGCTACATGCAAAAAAATGTAACTGAACCACTAAATCACACCATATACAAAATTAACTTAAATGGATTAAAATCTTAAACATAAGTCTAGAAAGTATAAAACTTTTGGAATACAACATTGGTGATAAACTCCTTGACAAAGGTATTAGTGATAATTTTTTGGATTTGACACCAAAAGGCAAAGGCTACAAAAGCAAAAATAAACAAGTGGGACTACATCAAACTAAAAAGCTTCTGCACAACAATGTGAAAGGCAACCTAGGAAATAGGAGAAAATATCTGCATATCATATATCTGATAAGGAGTTAATATCCAAAATCAATTTTAAAAAGCATACAATCTAATTTTAAAAGGGGCAGAAGTTCAGAATATTTTTCCTAAGAAGATATCTGGATGGCCAACAGGTACCCGAAGACATGCTCATCCTCACTCATTATCAGGGAAATGCAAATCAAACCACAATGAGATACACCTCACACCTACTAGGATAGCTATTATCAAAAGACAAGAAATAACCAGTGTTGGGAGCACATGGGTTGCTCAGTCAGTCGCACATCCAGCTTTTGGTTTCTGTCCAATCATGATCTCAGGATCATGGGATCAAGTCCCCCAGAAGGATCTATGCTCCACGTGGAGTTGAGATGCTCCTTCTCTCCCTCTGCCCCTAGCCCCACCCATGGACACACAGGCCCTCCCTTTCTCTCCAAAATAAATCAATCTTCAAGAAATAACAAGTGTTGGAGAGGATGGGGAGAAAAGAGAACCCTTGTGCACTGTTGGTGGGAATATAAATTGATGCAGCCACTATGGAAAACACTATGGAAGTACTTTAAAGAATTAAAAACAAAACCACATAGGGGGAGACAAACCATGAGACTGCGGACTCTGAGAAACAAACTGAGGGTTTTGGAGGAGACGGGCATGGGGGTTTGGGTGAGCCTCGTGGTGGGTATTACCGAGGGCACGTATTGCATGGAGCACTGGGTGTGGTGCATAAGCAATGATTTTTGGAACACTGAAAAAACAAAACAAAACAAAAACAAACAAACAATAAACTACATATGATCCAGCAGTTCCCCTTCGGTTATTTATCCAAAGAAAACAAAACAAGTTCAAAAAAATACTGATGTTTACTTCACAATTACAAGTGTACCTCAGACATTACAGGTTCGGTTCCAGACCACACAATAAAGTGAATATTGCAAAAAAGTGAGTCAAATGAATTTTTTGGCTTCCCAGTGCATTCAAAGTTCATCTTACACTATGCTGTAGTCTGTTAAGTTTGTAATAGCATTATGTCTAAAACACTATGTATCTTAATTAAAAGACACTTTATTTCTAAAAAATGCTAGCCATCATTTGATCTTTCAGCAAGTCATAATCACTCATCACAGACTGCCTTAAGATACATAATGAAAAAGTTTGCAATACTGTACGAATTACCAAAATGTGACACAGAACATGAAGCAAATGCTGTTGGAAAAATGCCAGTATATTTGCTATATGAAGTTTTGTCCCAAAACTGCAATTTTTTTAAAAATGCAGTATGTGCAAAGCACAAAATCTAAATGCAACAAAATGAGGTGTGCCTCATTCACAATAGCCAAGAACTGGAAATAACCTAAATGTCCGTTAATGGATGGAAAAATAAAATGTGGCCTATACAGACGGCAAATATTATTGTGCCACAAAAAGAAGGAAATCTCACCATTTGCTACAACATAGATGGACCTTGAGGACATTATGTTATGTGAAATAAGCCTGGCAAAGACAAATATCCTATGATCTCACTTACATGTGGAATTGAAAAAAAAAACAAACACCTCATAGATATAGATAACAGATGTATGGTTGTCTGAGGTGGGGGTGGGGAAGGGGTGAAATGGGTGAAGATGGTTAAAAGGTACAACTTCCAGTCATAAAAAAAAAAAAACAAAAAAAACTAGGTATATAATGTACAGCATAGTCACTACAGTTAATATTGTATGATGCATTTGAAAGCCACTAAGAGAACAGATCTAAAAATTCTTAACACAGGAAAAAATTGGTAATTGCGTAATGAATATTAACTAGACTTATTGTGATGATCACTTCACAAAATAAACACACCAAATCATTATGTTGAACACCTGAAACTAATGTAATATGTCTACGATATCTCAAAAAAATAAAATGAAATACCTTCAAATTATATTTATGAGCTTTATCCAAAATAGTTGGTACCAAGTCATCAGTATTTTCTCCATTCTCATCATTTGTACCAGGTGGGTACCATGATAGGGCTAGTACACCTAAAAGAAAAGACCAAAAAGAAAAATAAATACAGAAGTGGGAGTAATTGGAGATATTCTTAAAAAAAAAAAAAAAAAAAAAAGAAGAAAAAATTAAGGAGGCAGAATAAGACCAAATTGTTAACAGCAAAAAAGAAACGCATCCTCATAAGTTGTTTTATTACTTTACTCGATAGGATCTATGGTTATTTGATTACTTTATATTGTTATATTTATGAATTCTTTATCAAGTATGAATATATTTAAGTTAATAGGTTTTACTTTCCAGATTAGGTTTACAGAAAAATTGCACAGAAAGTACAGTTTCCATATATTCTCCTCTTACATACCTGCTCCCCAACCCACATACAGTTCTTGTTATTAATATCTTGCATTTATACGATACACACACACACACACACACATATATATATATAATTTGTTATATGTGATGAATCAATACTGGCACATCAACATTATATATATGTGTGTGTGTATACATATATGCATACATATATGTATGTATATATGTACATATATATATGAGTGTATTTGTTACATGTGATGAACCAATATTGATGTATCATTATTAACCATAGCCCACAATTTAGATGAGGGCTCACTCTTTGTGATGTACAACTGTACGGCTTCTGACAAAAGCATATGTGCCCACCATTCAGTATCATGCAGATTAGTTTTACAGACCTCAGAACCCACTGAAATCCATCTATTTATCCCTCCTCTCTCACTCCTCTCTCAATCCCCTGGATAATAATTGATCTTTTCAGTATCTCTATTGTTTTGTCTTTTCCACAATGCTATCTAGGTGGAATCCTACCAGTAACTTTTTCAGACTGGCTTCTTACACTTAGCAATACATAATAAAGGCTCATTTATATCTTTTTGTATATTTATAGATCATTCTTTTTACTGCTGCATGATAACTCATTGCATGGATGTACGACAATTTATCCATTCACTTACTGGAACATACCATGGATGCTCCTAATCTGGGGCAATTATGAAGATTCAAGAAAAAAAAATAGTTTCTCCTTGTAGTACTTACTTTTGAAATGACACATTACAAAATAAGTTTTAGAAACATAAGCCCACAGGGGGAAAAAAAAAAAAACAACAAAACTTACTTTGAAGGCATATTTGAAATCAACTATCAAAGCCTCACTTATATATGAAGAAATGAGAGACCAATAGAAAAAGCTGCTTATTTCTATATCAACCAACAGACTTTTTAAGGCATGGACAAAAATACAATGGTACGAAAACAGAAGCATGTGGAAATATAGGAACTACAAGGTTAGAAACTGGCAGAGAACTAAATTATAATACTTAAACTTTACAGTCAACCTGCCATGTACAGAACAGCCCCATCTAGAGAAACAAAACAGAACTTTCGAAAAAAGATGTCTATGTCCTCTATCCACTCTGAAAATAAGATAGCAATAAGAACATGAGAAGTAGAAAAAGCATCTATAATACATAAAGTGCTTTAGAGAAGCTTATGATTAGCCATGAAGGGAGTCTATTATATAGAGAAAAATGACGGTAAGAAAAGTGGAAACAGTTGATCAAACATCTAAGCTGCCTAAGAGTCTAGCTTATAAAAAGAACAGTACCAATGGAGAGCCACAGTAAAACAACAACAACAACAAAAAAAACTCAATATAACTTAGGTAAAAATCCTACCAAAAAAAAAACGTTGAGACAAAATAGTAAAGAAAGGACATATAAAAGAAAGATTATGCCATGAAGCCTATGAAAATTGTAAGCATATCATTCTTCCATGAAATTCAAAACAAAAGATTCCTGTTTCTAGCAATAGATTAGGTCACACAGACCAACATTTCCATGAAAAAAATATTAAAATATGGATTACAAAAAACTTCTTAGCCAAAGAGCTGAAGAGTTAGGGATTAGCTGTCCAAATTGAGGCAAAAAACATGAAATGAGCAAGGAAGACAATCTTCCCAAAACATAATTGGCAGAAGTAAACCAACCATCAAAAACAGTGGATAAAGTCCCAGGTTGACAGCGCTTGGGAAATTCTCTAGCTTTACAGTGAGTAGTGTTTTCTACTGTATTGAACAACACAGATAAAGAACATTTTCATTATCACACTAAGTTCTACTGGACAGTATTGCTAGATTGCTGATTCTCATAATACGCTAATCATTTCATTTTTATCTACTGATTTTTCTTCCTCCTTATTCTCACTGAAGTTATACTCTAAGGCTTGAAGAAAATGTTCTTTGTTCTTCATAGTTTCAGCTTTTTATTGTATCAAATTATCATTTCCAAATGTCTAATTCTATCTCCATACTGTGCTCCACAATCTAATTTTTCCTTGTACAGTATCTTTTGGACTATATCACTCCTGAGTTCTGAATAAGTAATGGCCTGGGAAACAAGTCAGTGATGGTCCTCCTCAGGAGGAAGACTGGACCACTTACAATGGTTATGAATCATCACAGTAACCAGAAGTTTCTCTAACACAAACTAAATATCATTTATAAGTAAGATTACTGCATATTTCTACTATCTCACTTGTGTAGTGAAAAGGGATATTCTTTGAGGTCTTTTCTCAGAATAGTAGCATTTCATTTTGTTATCTTAAAAACTACTTATTTATTTACTTTAGAGAGCACAAGACAGTGTGCACAAGTTGGAGGGAAGGACAGAGGGAGTGAATCTTCAAGTAGACTCCCCACTAAGCTCAGAGCCCAACAAGGGACTCGATCTCATGACTCATGAGAGTACAACCTGAACTGAAACCAAGATCAAGCACGTAAATGACTGAGCCACCCAGGCACCCCTAACATTTTATTAAATGCAGATGTCTATCAATCATGTTGTTCCTCCACAGCACACATCACAGGGCCTTCAATATAAGTGATACCCACTCTTGTGTGTGTGTGTGTGTGTGTGTGTGTGTGGGCACATGATGAATCTAAAGAGGATAATAGTTAAGAACATAAGATATGAAGTCAGACAGACCTAGAGACTCAAGTTTCCATTCTATTATTTGATAGATGTTTATGTTTAATTTAAATTTCCATTTGTAAAATGTGGATAAGTTCAGTTCATTCCCTAAAAGTGTGTTTTAAAAAGTATAGAGAATGACTTACATAGAATAAGACCCCCAAAAGTAATTACAAAGATGATAATGAAAAGATAATGGCAAATAAATTAGGATACATTTAACTCCACAGAACTTACGATAGCTTCCCTTATATTCAGGTACGTAACTTACTGTTTCCTTTAAACATATCAAACATTACTTCAAACTAAAGATTTAGCAGAAAGGCAAGCCCGGTTCCAGATATAAAATGATATTATCACTACACAAGATAACCCATGGTCAACAAAAAATATAAGGCATATAAAAAAGCAAGAAAAAAAAAAAAACTGTCAAGAGGCAATACAGGCGACAGAAGCAGACTCTGATATGAATCAGATGCTGAAATAATTAGACAAGGAATATAAAATTACTGTGATTAAAACACTAAAAGATCTAATGGTGAATGATAGCCATTATATGTCGATCATCAGGTGGGAAGTTTCAGCAGACATGAAAATTTTAAGAATCAAATAGTTCAGGGAAGATAAAGTAGGGTGACCCCAAGCTCACCTCCTCCCATGGACACACCAGTGAGATAATAGCTACATTTATGTAACTAGCTCTGAAAATGATCTGAAGACTGACAGAAAAGACCTTCCGCAGTTAATCATACACAGGGAGTCACATCAAAAAGGTAGGAGTGGTGGAGCCACAGTTGGGAATCAAAACACAGGGTGAGATTAACCACAAACAGTACTCATACTAGCAAAGAGAAGGGAGAGGATTAAACCTCACACCAGGCAAACAGAACACTGGGAAATGCCCTAGGAAGATGAGTCGCCATAACATCTGGCCTTGAAAACCAATGGGCATTAACTTCAGGAGTTTTTAGTATCAGCAAAACTTAACTCCACTTATTTTGAAAATCAGCTAGGCTTAACTTCAGGAGAGTCAGACAATGATAGGAAACAGTCCTGCATTTAAAAAGACAGAATAAAAAAAAAAAATCAACCAGAACCAAAGCATAATAGTAGCAGTTTGAAAAGTGCCTGTGGTATACATGAAGGAGAGTTACTTACTAATCTCAGAACATATGTTTGAGGGGTAGGCATCATTATGAACTTCTCTAGAAACAATAGTACTGGTGGGTGCCATTTCTCTTCCCCTCCCCAATGCTAGATAGCCAGACACTTGCAGGAGCCAGCATAACGCTACCTATCGTGCTATCACTATTTACCTACAGACCTGCTGATCCAACCCTCCTGCATTGGCAAGCATCCCACCAAAGTGGTCCTGCCCCCCCCCCCCCAATAACCTGCAAGTAGCCCCACTAGGGACCAGCACCACTCAAAAATGGTGCCTACCCTGGGGAGGGGGAAGATAATCCCATACAACAGAATGCCCACAGTTCCTGCATCAAAGATTCTTCACTGGCTGAGCAAAAAGTAAGGTTTGCTATTTGATATCCCACAGCTGTGGCAGGCTAAGTTCAGAGAGCCTGACTACTGACCCCACCAACCTATGAGACTTCTGAGGCCTCAGACTTCTCAATTGTACAAATTCTGCCTTGTTTGCCCAAAGTAGGCAAAGCAGGTCACTGCAGTTGTCTGGGCTGAAGGCAAATGCAGTTCAGTCACAACATTAGGGCACACATAGCATGCAGAGGAGACACCCCAGGAGTACCTGTTTCTGGTGACCAAGGGGGTACTGACAGGGTACCACAGGACTTCTACAGAAAGCACTACTTTTAAGACCAAGAGACATAGCTGACCTCCCTAATATATGGACACAAACAGAGAGTTAGACAAAACGAGAAGATGGAGAAATATGTTCCAAGTGAAAGAACAAGACAAATCACATCAAAAGAGTTCAATGAAACTAAGATAAGAAAATATGCCTGATAGAGAATTCAATTCAAAGTAATGGGCATAAGGATAATCACTGG